AATGTCATTCTTCCTCATCAAATTGCCTTTTCAATTTGTCTACGTTATGAAATTTGATAGAGTTTCGTTTCTCTTCTCATGAACTTTAGAAATCCCAATCTAGTGCCTATTAATTGAATTTCGTTTTTTCAAATTAATTCGGCCCATTTTTTTCTACAAAAAAATCATATATTTGATTAATGGATTTATCTTTTTTACAAATTTAATTGGAAGTTGGACCGTATACTCAATTTTTACTTTACGTTTTATTTTCTCACTCCCGTGCTGTGCTGAGCACGGGTTACTTCGCTAATCTTACATCTTATAAGAAGAGGAGAGAGAGTCTGACCATTTGGGAAGAAGCTGACATCATAGCTGAGAGTGAAGAACTTTGTTGAATCTGGGTTGAGTTTTGGGTGAGCAGTCATTGTAGAGCAAAGCCGGCCGTTGAAGTTGTAATGGCCAATTATCCCGTGGTCGCCGGAGGCAGTCACACGTACAAGGTAAGGCAAGTCATCCTCGAACATGGCAAGAAGTTGGCCGTTGAAGTAGACTAGGCCAGTGTAAGGGAATGGATTGTTCAGGTACTGGTGCGAAATTGCCGGTGATTTGAATAGCTGGGTCGGCTGTCTTGGGTAGAGGGCGATGCTGCTTGCTGGGATATACACGTGTCACCTAAACTCTACAAATTTAAAATGACAAATTATGATGGTCAGTTTAGGTCGCCGGTGGTTATTACTTTTTTCCTAATTTAATTTTATTCACATTTTTTCTTTCTCCATGTTTGTATTAGTTATGCATTAAAGTTATGTTTGGTTCGAAGGAAAAGGTATTGAAATGAAGGAAAAGATATCAAAATCTATACAAGATTTTTAAAGGTTTTTTTGCCTTTTCTTTCTCTACTTTTTCCTTCAAACCAAACATAGTCTAAGTTATTAATTTCGTTCATACTTATTACTTATATTTTGTACTATAACTGTTTTCTTTTTAATATTTTTGTTTTAATTCTGTTCATTTTTCAAGTTTAATTTCTTGCACATAATTAATGCCACATATACTCTAACGCAATTGACATGATTAACCCATGGTGAATAATTTCTTAACTTTTTTATATTAATTTTTGTTTTAATTCCGTTCAATAAATGCATTAAACCTATTAATGCCACATATACTCCAACAACAAATGACATGATTAACCCATCGTGAATATTTTCTTAATTTTTTGAGTAATGATCTTTAAGATTTTAAATTGTGAGAGAGATAATATCTGATCGTCAGCCCTTGAAAGAGATGATATCTGATCGTTAGCCTCTAACGCAGGTGTCACGGGGGTAGTTCTATAGCAGAAGAAACTCGTGCAGCATCCAGGCCAAGGTAGGCCAGGACAAGTCTTATGTGTGCTTAGAGGTTAGGAGTTACCCGATGAGATGGCTCCATCAAGGTTAGTAGCACTGGATCATGACCTCAAATCACATGGCTGGGGCACTCAGCTAGCTCTTGTTGGTCCATGGGAGGCGTTGCTTACGTGCTAAAGGGGAAGGCCATGATGAGAGGTGATTGGGCACTGATGAGAGGCGACTGGGCGCCGATGTGATGGGTCTCCTATATGCCGATGATGATGGGCACCTGTGTGCCTTGTTGATAGGCAACCGCTGGGCCGAAACACACCTGTGCGCTATGGGCAACGTGATAGATCACTCAGCTTCGTCAAGGAGCTGGCATGGTGAAGAGTCATACTTGAGCCAGGCCTGCATGCCAAGCCTCCCTTGAGTGTCGGCAGCGCAGTGTCGGTCCATGCACTGTCCCCATGAGCATGTGTGCGCCCATGAGGAACCCTGGCAGCCATGCTAGCCATTAACCATGGTCGCCCCGCAAGGGATGTTGGTCTAGGAGTGCCAAGGTTAGGCACCCAAGGAGGTCGACCACCCCTCTTCAAAGAGTACGTTAAGCTTTTAGAGGTCTGCCTGAAGATGACATCAATTATCCCAAAAATCTTACAGGCGAGAATGACGATGGTGTCCCTTAACGTAAGCCTGGCAAGCATAGGCAAGGCTAAGCCTGTGTCAGACCGTGACACAGGTGTCACAAGTGTTCTCTTCGCCGCGCCATCAAGTGCCATCCATCGTGCCTACAGCCGCCACTCTAGTGTCCAAGTGTGTGTCTTGGGTGGGCTATGCATGTATTTTTGTATGGGGGATTGCCAATGGCATTCTTGTAATTACCTAGTATGATTTTTCATCCTTTTGATGTATCTTTATGTCACTCCCCCAAAAGTTTAACGTACTCTTTGAGGGGAGGTAGGTAGTCGAGTGAATCAAGAGCATGTAAAGGTTAAGCATGAGATCCCCTCGACACTGAACTGTGTGCTTATGCTTGCCATCCATTAATGCAATACAAGTTACCTTTTGTCTAATTTGTGTGCCATCTTTGTTGCCTTTTCTTGTGTTGTTTCTTGTTGCTTAGGCTTACTCGCCACATTTGAGTGTCGCACGGGGCCCCAACGACTAGCCCCGTGACATAGGGGTATTTCGAGCCTCTTGGGTCTTGGGCTAAGTTTTGCTGGTGGATAGCCCGATGAACGAAGCCAGCCTGACGGACATAGCCTCTTAGGTCTAAGATTTTCTAGTGGGTAAAGCCAGTCCGCTGGACAAAGCTTGATGGACATAGCCTCTTGGGTCTATGCTTTGCTTTGTCCAGCTTTGCTGGTGGATAGCCCGATGAACAAAGCCAGCCTGATGGACATAGCCTCTTGGGTCTAAGATTTGCTAGTGGATAAAGCCAGTCCGTTGGACAAAGCTTGATGGACATAGCCTCTTGGGTCTATGCTTTCCTGGTGGATAAAGCCAGCCCTCTAGACAAAAGCCTGATGGACATAACCCGATCCGATGGACAAAGCCAGCCCACTGGAGTAGAGCCCAATGGACAAAGCGTGGCTGAGTAGAGCCCGATGGACAAAGCCATCTTGCCTAAGTAGATGGACAACCATCCATCAATCTCTAGGCTATCCATCAATCTCTCGTTCGATCTCTCTCTCTCTCTCTCTCTTCCTCTAGAATTGCAGTGGCAGACTCACTCTTCTAATCAGATCGACGGGTTGAGCCTAACAGACAAGATAGGCGGAGAGGGAGACAGTGGGAAAGTGGAACCGAGGAAGAAGGGGAATGTGTGAGAGAGGTCAAAGTCAGAACGATGGGTTGGGCCTGTCGAGCTGAGGCCTGACAGATGCAAGACGAGGGGCTAAGATTAGCCAGGTCTTGAGGGGTGACTGAGAGGGTAGCGGTGGCAATGGCGATGGCGATGGTGGTGGTGCTTTTCTTGACTAGGGATGTCAATTTTCCCCTATAAAATCGGGGCCCTGCCCCGCCTCAAATGGGGCAGGTTTTTCTCAACCCTAAACGGGGACGGGGATGGGTTTTGTATATAATTCCCCGAACTCGCACCTGAACCCGAAGGTAAAATTAGTAAAATATCTATAGGTTTAATATTGATATTTAAAATATCTCTAAGTTTTTCCTAAATTTTTAAAATCTTAGAATCCCATAATTCCATTTTTGAAGTACCCGAAAGTATTATAATTCAATTCCTAAAATACCCCCAAATTCCTATTTTGTATGTATAAATTGTCCACAATAAATAACTTTTAAGAAATTGCCTTGGAGCGAGAAAAATTCGGGGATTACCCATCCTCGATGGGGAGTGGATGCCCCACCCTATTGCCATTCCTATCCCTAACTAAGATCAGCCAGATCTTGGGAGAGTAGGGAGAATAAGAAGAGAGAGAGAGTGTGTCTGGGAGAGTAGGGGAGGATGAGGGCCTAACTAAGAAGAGAGAGAGAGTGTGTGGGAGAGTAACCATTGTAGTGGCGGGATAGGGAAGGGGAAAAGAAGGCAAGAAGAAGAAGAGAAAAGGAGACTAAGGGAGAGAGAGGGTCTATGGTGGCGGAATGGACGAATTGAAGAAGAAACAAAAGAAAGGGAAAGAGCAGCGGAGAGAGAGAGGGAGGGCAACTGCCATTATAACCAAAGGGGAGAAGAAGAAGAAGAAGAAGAAGAGGAAAGAGAGAGAGAGGGAGGGGGGTTGTGCAAGCATGGTTCAAAGTATCGATACAATACACTCGATACAGAGCATATCGTATCATATCTTTTGAAAAAAGTACGGTCCGAAACACCTGATACTAGGATTACATCTAATGCAACACAACGGAGGATATCTGAATGGTGGTTGTCTAAATCATGCAACACAACTATTTATGTTATTGAACTCTTTTAACAACAAATATTAGGATTACATCTAATGCAACACAACTAATTTACTTTATCACTTTTTTATTTTATTATTATTTTTGCATAATTTAATTTCATATTCCTTATCAGCCCCTGCAAGGCAGACCCCCGCCCGCTATTGATAAAAATTTCATGACCAGTTCACCACTCACCGACCGAATTGACTTTGGCAAAGAGGAAATGGTATTTGTTGAGGGTGGATGTTAAGGCCACTCCATAATGGCTCTGTCATCCAACGTAAATAGCACCATTTCGTGACCGGATTTACTCTTTACACCTGGCGCCTCACACACATCCTATCATACATTGGGAATTATTCACGGTAGATGTTTCTAATTCACGGTGGATGTGCCTGTGAGGCGCCCATTTGCGAGGATGAGATAGCTTTAGCATTTCCTCCTTTCCTAATTCACGGTAGATGTTCCTAATTCACCACCATTTCCTCCTTTCTAAAATTTTTGCCTCCTCACGGTAGATGATTAAGCCACGTGTCCTTTTTCTTTGAAAATTTTTGAACGTTGGATGACATGGCTTTAGCATCATCCACCGTGAAAAAACGAGAGTACCTACTCGACCGACGTCACGTCAGGTCTACTGTTGGACAAAAGTCCAATCAGCAGTAGGTCAAGCTGAAGTAAGAACTCGTCGGTCCATCTTCTGAAGAAGTTTTGTCAGTGCGGTCGTGAAATTACTATACTATCCTCCCGTACCCATAGAAAGAACAAGAGCATTGTTCAGCGAACGCGCGACGTGACGGACGTTTGCCATTGTAAAATTTTCTCAATCCAATTCGAAAGTCGAAAGTTTTACTTTTCTGAAGAGAGGTGGTAGAGACTAGACCCTCTTCTCTCCAACTTCTATCATCCGAAGAAAAAGCAGCAGCAGAAGAAGAAAGAAAGCAGGAATGCAGATGTCTTTGTTCGCTTAATCTGCCTACGGTCTACCCTTTCTTATTAAGATGGCAGGGTACTCCTTCTTTCCCTCTCTCTCTCTCTCTCTCTGGTATCATATTCCGGCGATTGAATGAACTACTTGAGAAGGGTGCTTTTAGCTTCTTCTTTGTGGATTTTACTTGATTGTTTTGGAGATCAAGAAATAAAACAATACTCAGGAAAGGACACTTAGATTTTACTAAAAGAGGACAATCAGATATAATGATGCCAAGTTCTGCCTTTTGTTGTTCTGACGGGAATGAGATATCCCCTTTGTTTTGATCTTTAATCATGTCGATCATCACCCATGGTTCATATATATATTTTTTTCCGGTGTCCATCTTAAGAAAACAAATAAATGAAGAAATTTTCAGCTACTTGATTTTAAATGTTGAGGTTCCTCCTAAAGAGCCTAAAATATCAAGTCGTCTGCACTGTTTGCGCGGTTAATCTGAACAGTTGCAATAGGTATTATTTCTGGCGCTCTAGCTTAAATGACGGTCAAGTTCATTTGAGTGTTCTCGTTAAGTATTTGCTTTGAACAACGAGAGTGATTGAGCGGTTGAGGCCAAATTTTCATCTAAAGTAATGGGTTTCAAGTTTTGCTTCACGTTGGCTTTATGATTATCTTTCATACCCAGAAAACCTATTTGTTAATACTCCATATCCCATGAACAAAACCACTTCTTCACTGTCCCCCCCCTCGGCAAAGCAAGTAAAAAGGAAAACAAGAATGGGTCTAATATTTGTATGGTCTTTCTTGGTTAGGAGTATTAAAGGTTTATACGAGTCACTGGTCCTATTCAGTATGAAAGACCAGATCGTTTACTTTAGTCATCTACACTAGATCTTGTTTCATTTACTAGATGACCCTTGAAATGGGTTATGCACACTTAGGTTATTATATAATGTTGACAGTCTTCAGCTTAAGTTTTGAGTTGTTGAAGGGTACCTTAAGTTCAACTTTTCCTTCTCCAATGGACCAATACGACTTGCATTGCTAGTGGATTTATGGTCCATGTCTTGTTGTCATCTCTGAAGCACTGAAACTTGTCAAGAATATCTTGCTAGCCTTTCTTATGCATTTGAAGACAGATTGTAATTAGATAAATAGATAATCTGCAATATTGTTTGGATATTTTGAACTCTGTTCAATGAATGAGTTGCCTTCTTGTGTTAGACTTCAGAGCATGCCTTGTATGTGTGACCTTTCAAGTTGAAAGCCTTCTAGTAAGAAATTTATTACTTTTTCCAGCAAAAATATAAAGTTAAATAGCACTTCAGAGATAGTGGTTTTCATAACCAATGAACCATGAAAAAGAAAACTTAGCCTTAGGGTTTGCATACACATTGCTTACTCCTTTTCAATTTTCACGGTTTGAAGATGGGCTAAGGAAGCAACTGGAGCAGATAATGAATTGACTAAGGAACATGTTGTGTTATTACTTCTGGTGGAAAACTTTGATTTATGAACTAGTAATATTAATCATTTTTGAGTAATTGTAGCATTACTTTCATCTTGTTTTTTATATTATTTTTTATAAGCAGTGTAAAAGTATTGTATTAATAATCAAAAGTAGGCAAGGTGCTCTCAACTCAACTCAACTCATGTACAAAAAAGTGCCTATAAGTATGCACAGATCATATACATTAGAGCATTTACAAAGCAATCGAAACAGAAGGGATCAACACTGATCAGCAAAGATATGGACAGACACTCCCACAAAAAGCTTCAAGCTACCAGCCCAACTAATCAAACTCCTCTCAACCTTCCCTATTGTAACTTCCACTGGTTCAGCCTTGGAAATAAATAACCTCTGATTCCTTTCCTTCCACACTGACCAAAATGCTGCAAAAAGGAGACAATTTGACAGGAACTTGCCTCTAACTGGGAAGGAACTAACCCTCCAACCAGACATGAGATCTGGAACTGAGAGTGGAGGGACCCATCAAGGCTTGAAGAGCTTTGCAAAATGGCACCACACCTGATAAGTATAGGGGCGGTGAATTAGCAAGTGTTGGATGGACTCCGAGGCTGAACCATACATGCTGCAAAAACTATCAATCTCCATTCCAATTGACAAAAAAAAAAAAAAGAAAAAAATCAACCTCCATTCCATGGCTCAAAAGAGCTTCAGCAGTCTGCACCTTCTCCGGTGCAGCCAGCCACACAAAAAATTGGATTTTGGAAGGGACTTGAGCACTCCAGATCCAGGACCAAGCTACTTTTTGACCTGTGCCCAGCAGAGCTAAATAATAAGATCCTGTAGAAATACCAGATTTTTTCTGGATGCAAACTCTAGCAGCCCTGATGCTGATGTCAGGCTGGTCCGTTTGTAAAATGCTTAGCAACTCACCCAAGATTTCAACATCCCAATCGTTTGGGTTCCTTTGGAACCTTGGAACCCACACCACCTGACCATTAACCAACTCAAGAGTCTTGACAGCACCATCTTCATCAGGCTAAGGAAAATAGTGAGGGAAAAGCCTCTGCCAGCAGCTGATTAGCACACCTGAAAGAGATGTGATTTTGAAATAAAGGGAGCAGAGCCATTATTTCTTTCCAAATGTGTTAGGAACTGCCTAACTTAGGGACTCTTTCGAGGGAGCCTGCCTCCAAAGAGAGAGAGAGAGAGAGAGAGAGTCCCTGGGCTCAGTTTGAACTTGGCCCTCTTCTGAGAATGATGGGAGGGTGGTTGTTGTTATTGCTCCTGTTTTTGGCCATTTCTTTAATAGGGATACATGGAATACAGGGTGTAATTTTGATGTTGCTGGGAGGTCCAGCTTGTATGCCACTGATCCGATGCGCTCCACAATTCGAAATGGGCCGAAGTACCTCGGGCTCAGTTTGTTCCACCGGGTGGCCTGCTACTGAAACCTGCTTGTATGGTTGTAATTTAAGGAAGACTTGCTCCCCGACTTGGTACTGGGCAGGCCTATGTCTTTTGTTGTAGGAGTCCGTCATCCATTGTTGGGCTCGCTGGAGGTGGGATTTGAGATCTTGTAACAC